CCACTCTGCTCACTTATGAGCACTCTGCACCCAACTCCTGCCCATACCAAGTGGACTTCCGTGCCCACACCCCAGACCTCCTGACCCCCCATCCTGACCCTCCTCCAACTTCCCCTCAACCCAGCTTCTCTTGGGACACTCCCTCTGCACTTACCTCGGACTCCCCGCCCCCGGCTCCCCTACGTCCCTCCTGCCCCTGGCTCCCCACGTCCTCCCCAGCCCCCAGCCCCTCACCTGGGCTCTGTCATGTCTGGAGCTCCCTGTTCAGCGTCCTCAACTCTCTGACCCACTTGCTGCCTGTGACCTTACTGGGAAGGAGCTGAGCCCTGGAGGAGCCCAGTGGTCCCCCTTGTACCTGCCCTGCATCCAGCATGGCCCAGGAGCATCCCCCCGCCGGGCGTCACCAGGAAGCCTTGCTCCCCAGGCTCCCTCGGGGCCCGCACCCAAGCTCCCTGCCAACGAGGCCACTTTGCCTCCCTCCCCTCCCATCTCATCCTTAGCAGGGGACCTTGCCTCACTCCCCTTACAGAGGAAGGACAGAAGCCCACAGCAATCTCCTCGGTGTCCTGCAAGAAACCGGCCCACTTGCTTCGAGGCAAGGCCCCAGGCCGCAGATCCTGGTGCCACGGGGTCCTGCTGTGGAGATCCTGGTGCCACAGGGTCCTGCTGTGGTGGTGATGCCCTCCCGATGCATCCTCCCCAGAGTCCAAACCTGGATCCCCAGAACCCGCAAGTATGGAGCGTCGGTGGCAAAGGGGACTTAGCAGGTTTGACTACAGAAGGACCCAAGACAGGAAGATGGTCCTGGGTGACCCGGGGGACCCTACATGTGGTCACAAGGGCCTCAGAAGAGGCAACAGGAGGGTGGAGGTGGAGATGGCGGATGGCAGCAGAGTCAGAGAGGACGGAGGGGCACTCTGCTGGCCTCGAAGGTGAGGAGGGGGCCGGGGGCACCTCGGGAAGCTGGAGAGGACAAGGAATGGATCTTCCCCTGGAGCCCACAGAAGGAGCCGCCCTGTGACCCTTGACCCTCGCCCAGTGGGATGCATTTTGGACACTCATCCCCCAGGGCTGGAAGGCCATGGCTGTGCTGTTCCCAGCTGCTGGGTTGGCAGTGGTTTGTCTTGGCAGCCCTGGGGAGCTGACGCTGGTGCCCTCTGGCCCTGCTACAGGGCGTCTGCAGGGGCCTCTGCCACTACACTCAGCAGGGTCTCCGAAGCCCCCACACTGCCAAAGCCAGAGGTGGCTTTTCAGAGCTCTCCACCGTGACTCAGGCCACCTGGCCACACTGAGTCCTCTCATTCCCCCTCCTGTAGCCCCTCCCCAAACCAAGCTCCTCCTCCACCTCCTCCTGCACCAGCTTCCATGGGGACCAAAGCCACCCTCTGCACAGCCACCACTCTGGACAGCCAAAGGCCCTCAGACCAGTCCCCTCCTCCCCTGGCCCCAGGCAGTCTCGGTGACCTCCCACAGGGGCAGTGACCTCCCAGAGGGGCATCTGACCACCTGCCCTGCCCAACCCCTCCAAGACTCCCAGTGCCCCAGGGGATGTGCCAAACACAGGTCAAGGGAACTGCCCCCAGGGCCATGACGCCTCTTCTGGCCTCGGTCTCCTCCTGCCAGGACAGCTTCCTTTCTCCTGACTTGGATCTTCGGGTTTCTGGGGAGTGTCGTGTCCTCAGGGAGGCTGTCCTCTGCCTATCGGCATGCCTGTCCTAACTCCTTGTGACATCAGGCCTGTCCCGAAACCCCTGTTTGAGCCACCCCAGTGCACAGAAGGAACTGGTAAAGTGTCTGGGCTGCTTCTGCCTTGTCTCCCTTTCCATCTCGTGAGGAGGGACAGCAGGTCTCGCTTGCCCTGTCCTCAGCTCCACGGGTGGGCAGTGGCCCCATGGTCATAGACAGCGTAGAATGTTCCTGAACAGCCTCAGTGACATGGGTTTTTCCTTTTTAAAAAACAAAAAATTGAACTGAGCCAGGCATGGTAGTGTGAACCTGTAGTCCCAGCTACTCAGCAGGCCGAGGTGGGGGAATCGCTTGGGGCCAGGAGTTCAAGTCCAGCCTAAGCCACATAATGAGACCCTGTCTCTAAATAAAATTTGTTTAAAATGGAACTGAAATTCACAGAACATTAACCACTTCACAGTGCACACCGAGTGCCATGTAGTACATTCACACTGTTGTGCGACCACCAGCACTTAGTTCCAGAACGCTTTCTTCACCCCAAAAGGAAAGGAAACCCAGCATCCATTAGTCAGCATTCTTCATTCTCCCTGCCCTCAGCTCCACCAGCCCGCAGCTGCTTTTCTGTCTCATGGATTTACCTGTTCTGGACGTTTCCTTCTTTCTTTCTTTTTTTCTTTCTTTTTTCTCTTTTCTTTTCTTCCTTCCTTCCTTCTTTCTCTCTTTCTTTTCTTGTCTTTTTTTTTTTTTTTTTTTTTTGAGACGGAGTCTCGTTCTGTCGCCCAGACCGGAGTGCAGTGTCGCCCGTCTCGGCCTCCCAAAGTGCTGGGACCACAGGCTTGAGCCACCGCGCCCGGCCTCTTTTCTTTCTTTCTCTCTCTCTCTCTCCTCTCTCTCTTTTTCAAGATGGAGTCTTGCTGTGTCACCCAGGCTGGAGTGCAGTGGCGAGATCTCAGTTCACTGCAAGCTCTGCCTTCTTGGTGCAAGCGATTCTCGTGTCTCAGCCTCCCGAGTAGCTGGGATTACAGGTGCGCACCACCACGGCTGGCTAATTTTTGTATTTTTAGTAGAGACAGGGTTTCACCATGTTGGCCAGGCTGGTCTCGAACTCTTGACATCATGTGATCTGCTTGCCTCGGCCTACCAAAGTGCTAGGATTACAGGCGTGAGCCACCACGCCCGGCCTGGACATTCCATATACACAAAATCGTGGAAGACGTGGCCTTTGTGTCTGGCTTCTTTTGCTGAGCATAATGTCTCAAGATTCATCCACACTGTAGCCTGTGTGGGAATTTCTCTCCTCATGGCTGAGTCATGTTACCTTACACGTCTACACTGCATTTTGTGGATCCATTCACCTGGCAACGGATGCTTGTGTTGTTCTTCCCTTTGGCTGTTGTGAACAAGCATCTGTCTGAGTGTCTGTTTTCAACTCCTTTGGGTAGGCACCCAGGAAGACAGTTGCTGGACCACAGGATAATTCTACGCTTAACTTTTTGAGGAGCCACCAGGCTGCGTCCCACAGCAGGCACCTTGCTGATATTTTCATGCACCTCAGCTCTGCAATCTGCACTGTCGGGCACCTCGACCTGAGTGAGTCTGAGGAGCACGGTGCTCTAGAGCTGCTGGCTCTCCCAGGGGCTCCTTGATGGGGCTGCTGTTGCCTCTGCCTGCCCCAGGGCTGCTGCTGCTGGAAGCTGAGACTCATCCTCATTTTCCACACAATCACAGGCAGGAAGGGGACTGCATGGGACATGCGAAGATGCGCACTTACCCTGGGCCCCTCGTGCACCAGAGGAAGAGGCCTGCCTGGCTGTGGGGTGGGGTGGGGCCAGCTTCTGGGCTGGGTGCTCTGGTGGGTAAACTCTGGCTTCTGGGACACCAGGAGGAATGGCTAAAGCGGGGAGACACAGGCCCCTGTAGAGCTACTGGGGCGGTGACAGCTGGACTTGGATGCTGGCTTCATGACCGTGTTCCCCAGCGTTCCCACCTGGTGATACCCCTTCCCTGGAATCTGCGGGTGGCCCAGGACTTTCTGACCCACAGGATGCAGTAGGAATGACACCATATGACATCTGAGGCCAGGTCACACAAAGCCTGGCAGCTTGGCCTGGCCTAGTGAACGTGCTCTGGAAGGAGCCAGCTGCTACCGGAGAATCCGACTACCCTGAGACCACCAGGCTTCGGGGAAGCCCACACCAGCCACAAGGGAGGCCAGCTGGCCCTGGCTGTTCCAGCCACCCAACTGAGGGCCAGGGGTGAAGAGGCCATCCTGGACGGTCCACCCCGTTTGGCCTTCAGACGACTCCAGCCCCAGCTGCCACCTGATTACAACTGCAGAGAGACCCCAAGGCAGGGCTGCCTGGCTGAGCTGGGCGATCCATAGGCCAGGCAATAAAGGGGCACTTTAAGGCATTAAGCTTTGGAGTGTTTCGTTACACAGCAATAGTGAACAAGGATCTGGGAGTCTATTTCAAGCCCACATGGCCAGTCCACCCTGAGCCTGTTCCCCTGGGCCATAGTTCAGAAAGCAGGTGCAGGTCAGGGTTCAGGGCCAGTGTGGGCCTTAGCTCCCTTGCCTCAATATTGTTTCCAGCCCCTGTGGAGGCCGTGGTGGCATTTGGAGGGGGTCCTTGGAATCCATGCCCAAGGAAGAACTGCAGCTGCCTGGGACCCTTCCACACCCAGGAAGGACCGTCATCAAGGTAGAACTTGCAGGAGGAGGGAAGGGCAGCTGGCTTTTGAGTGGAGGAGGGACAGCTGCAGAGACAGCGTGGCAGCTCCCAGCCACCCTGGACACCAGCAACCTCGAGGGGAAGCCCCCTTGGCCCAAGCTTTGGCCCCTCCCGCGCCCCACTCTCCTCTCCCCTGGCTTCTTTCCAGGGCCCTCTCTCTGGCCTCCCGTGACTCTCTTCCTGGGCCCAGTCCCTCCCTCCCTGGGGCGCTGCTCCGCCCCCGGCCCCGCCCGCGGACCCCTGGAGTAACTTAATCTCAGGGTTGTGGTTCATCCCCAGAGGCACCCCAAACGGGCAGGCTCTTGGCTCCAACCACCTCCAGGCCCTCCCTCCCCCAGCCAAGAGGTCCCGAGTCCCACCCAAGCACTGTACCCCGGTCCGGCTGGCCCCGCCCGGCGGCCGGGGTCGACCCAGCCAGTCCTTCCTCTGCGCGACGCCCACGTGCCTGCACGGCTCCCCTGGCACCGCGGAGACCGGCGCCCCCAGGCGCGCAGCACCCGACAGGTGGCACCTGCGAGCCCCGCCCACCTCGGTCGCCCCGCCCCGCCCCGCCCCGCGCACCCACGGAGCATGCTCAGAGCCGCCGTCACGCGCCCGCCCGAAAGCTCCCGTCCTGCCAGGGCGCTGCCCCGGGTTGGTCCCCACTGCGGTCGGGACCCCCGCCTGTCCTGGCGCCGCCATGGACCGCATCGAGGGAGCGTCCGTGGGCCGCTGCGCCGCCTCACCCTACCTGCGGCCGCTCACGCTGCATTACCGCCAGGTGAGCCCGCGTCCCCGCGCCCTCCGCGTCCCCCGCGTCCCCGCCGGCGGCCCAGCCCACGACCCGCGTCCCGCCCACCGCCTTCTGCGCTGCGGGCCCCGCCCCGGAGCCCCGCCCCGGAGCCCCGCCCCCGACTCCCGCCGAGCTCCGGGTCGGCCCCTTCTCCGCCCGCCGGATCGCGGGTTCCCCGACCCAGTGAGCCCCCAGGCCGGGGAGGGGCCGCAGGAGGGACATCTGAGGGGACACCACTCATCCTTTCAAGGAAGCATTGCTGGGCCCTATCCTTCCCGTCCCCGGAATCCGACCCTTTTGGCAGTGGGACTCCTTGGTTGCCCTGGGGATCAGGGAAGGCTTCCTGGAAATGGTGGCTTTCATGCTGCAACTTGAAGGAGGAGATAGCTGGGCCGAGGAGGAAGGAGCAAGGAGTGCAGAGGGTGGAAGCAGGGAGGTAGGAGAAGGAGCTGAATGAGAATTTGAGCGAGTCTCAAAGTGGGCTTCCTCCTTGGGGTTTTTTCCAGGGAGGGCACCTCCTTGGAGTCTCCATCTGCCTAAGCTCAGCCTTCCCCACCTCCTAGGGTGTCACATTCTCCCATGCCAGGCCCCGACACGAGGGGCTGTGTTGCCTCACTTGGCACCAGGCACATGGTAGGTTCACAAGGAATATTTTGTTTTGTTTTGTTTTTGAGACAGGGTCTTGCTCTGTTTCCCAGGCTGGAGTGCAGTGGCATGATCACAGCTCACTGTAGCCTCAACCTCCTGGGCTCAAGCGATCCTCCTGCCTCAGCCCCTGCCCCGGTAGCTGGGACCACAGGAGCACACCACCACACCCGGCTGATTTTTAAATTTTTTTGTAGAGACGAGGTCTCACTGCTGCCCAAGCTGGTCTTGAACTCCTGGCCTCGAACTCTTGGCCTCTGAAAGCATGGGGATTACAGGCATGAGGCATATGTGTTGGGTGAAGGAGCTACTGCCATCCTTTTCCCACATCCAGTGGATCACTGAGTCCCAGCCTGTCTTCCTCTAAGCCCAGCCCTGTCCGGTTTGGGCCCCACCTTTTGCTTGCATGCCTGCCTGCCCCCAGCAGATCTCCCCTCTGCCAGAGCTCCTGCATGCCATTTAGGCAAAGACTGCCTTCCTGGCCACAGTCAGTCCAGCGCCCCCAGCCTCTCTCATCAGGTCAGGTGGTCCAGGTCGCCGTGCCCCTCTGCTTGCCTGCCTCCCTCAGGGGGCATCCTGTCCCCCCCATCACATCCAGGATGCTGCCCCTCACCATCCTTGTGAAGCCCTCTTAGCCCCCAGCCTGAGAGAGGCCCTGTGCCCCTCACTTTCCCTGTGGCGGGAGTCCTGTTGGCTCTCCCCAAGGCAAAGCTAAGCTGGTGGTGCTGGCGGGGGGCAGCTGGGATCAGTTGAGGTACAGCAGGTGGGGACATGGGGTCACTGCCCTTTTCCCTGATGGCCACATGGGATGCCTGCTTGTGGCCGCACAGTCCCCACAGGGCTGGGCCTCAGGCAGCAGGTACAGGGCAGCCCAGGCAGGTGCCCTCTGTGGCCCTGGTGGCAGCACTCTTTCCCTCACTTCCAGTGAAGCGCTCAGGGCAGCCCTCGCAGCCTCAGCGTGCAGCCCACTGGCACAGCTCTGCTGAGGGGCTCTGGTAACCAGAGCTGAGCTGGTGTGGGCCGTGGCTGTGGTGGACACGGATGCAGGCTCAGGGCGGGCGGCGTCTTCTCAGGGCCAAGGGACATTGGGTTGGACCTTGGCCGCCACCCAGGGACAGCTGCAGCCCTCAGCTTTTTGCTGCATCCAGCCAGGGGAGGCCTGTGATGTCAGGCAGACCAAAGGCGGGGGACCCCCTTGGCTCTGAGGTGATGGGGTTTTGTTTGCACCCAGCCCTGCCCCTCTTTCCCAGGCCTCAGTGGCCTCCCTGAACCTTCCTGCACCTTGACCTGGCTGGACCTAAGGGTCTGACACACTTTTGACCTTGAGCTGAGAGGGTCCTTGAGACCTGCATGGGGTGATGTTACTCAGGGGGAAGCAGTGGTGGGGAGGGGGCATGGGCATAGCAGGCACATGGCAGGCTGTGGGCAGGGGGCTTCCCTGAAGCCTGCCCTGGCTGGGTGGCTGGCTCTGGGGTGGCTGGATGTCAGGCAGGCCTGGGCTCGCCTCCCGGGAGTGGTACCCCACGGCCTCTTGGGCATCCTGACCTGCGCGGGACACTGGCCCTCCCTTCCCTTGGAAATGGGCACTCTCCTCCCAGGACGCCTTTGCCTGCCAGCCAAGCTCAGAGGGCCTCTGTGCCTCTGCCTGCCCAGAATCCCTTCCCTCACTTCCGTCACCTCTTCCAGGAAGTCCTCAGGAAGGCTTCTTCCCTCTTCTGCAGTCCTGGCGGCACTTCCTGTGTCTCTGCCACTCAGGCTCTGTCCATTTCACAGCCTGGGCGGAGCCCCCAGGGTGGGATGAGCAGCTCACCTGGGCCTCGGAGTGGCAGATGGGCTGAGCTCGCCGGAGATGGGACCCCGTGGGACCCCAGGCCCAGCCCCCAGGATGGGAGTGCATCTCAGAATCCGTCAGTTCCAGCCTCCCCCAGCAGGCCCAGCCCACACACCTGCCCACCCAGGGTGCAGGGGCCTGCCAGGGCGGCGTGCCCAGCGTGTGGAGGGGGAAGGTGGAGGGTGGCCACAGGAGAACAGGACCACAGGGTGTGTGGGAGAGCCATGGCCAGAAACTGGGGATGGGAGGGTGGGAGGCGGGGCCCAGCCCGGTCACCATCACAACAGTCACAGAGTCCTGCAGTGCCATCTCCTACCTGGCTGGGGCGCCACCCTGCCCCATCCACTCCTGGTGCTGGCCCCTCCTGCCCTCCCGTCTCCCCCTGTTCAGTGGCCCAAGGAAGCTTCAGCAGGAAAACCTGGTCTCCTCTGCCTGGGGCCCTCCCTGCCCTGCTGTGAGGGGTCCTGCCTGCCTCCCTGAGCCTCCCTGAGCCTCCATGAGCCTTCCTATACTTGGTGACAGTGTGCGTCTCTCTGCAGCCCCTTGTGCCCGGTCTGTGCTGGGCAGTGTTTCATGGGGTGCCTGGATACCTTCCCTGCTTTTTGCCCTGGTCTTCTGCCTCACTCCTAGGGTATTAGGCTGTCCTCGACCTCCCCGCCCCTCCCAGGCTGCTTGCTCCTCTGCCCACGGGAGCTGCAGCTCCTGGGTCCTGTGGGCCCAGGCCATGAGCCGATCTCCCTGGTTTGGAGTGGGTGCGGCGGGTCTGTGGCCTCCTTGGTTCCCCAAGCACCTCTGCCCATCCTGGCACATTGTAACCGCTGATCTGCCTCTTCTAGAACGGTGCCCAGAAGTCCTGGGACTTCATGAAGACGCATGACAGGTGAGAGCCTGGCCCAGCCCGGCCACTGGGGAAGCCCCAGACTGATGTCCATGGGAACACTGGGCCCAGGGGGAAGGGGCCCTCTCCTCCCTGACGTTTCTGTTCCCTGCGGGGCTCCAAAAGTCCCTTCTCTCTGCCCGGCCTCTGGGTTTCCTGTCCCGGAGGGGTCAGCCTGAGGCCTGGGGGCTGAGTCAGGTCTTAGCTCAGGCCACCAGGACCGTGATGGTGGGCAAGTCCTCTCAGGGCAGGGAGAGGTCATCCTGGAGCCTTTGCCCCTAGCATCCAGGGTCTGGGCTGGATGGCGACGTGGGTCGAGGAGTGTGGCTGGTGGGCAGCTGGTCAGTGAGGGCCAAATGTCCTGTCAGTCACCCGGCCGCAGCTGCTAGCACCCTGACCTACTCAGCTGCCCGTGTGTCCTTCCCTGCCCCCTGCCTCCCATCCTGCCAGCTGGAATACAGCAGGTCTGGGTCCTGGCCGGACTGTGACCCTGGAAAGCTCTTGTCCTGCCTGGGCCTCAGCCATCCTATCTGAGCAAGGGGCCTGACCTCCCTGGGCTGCTGGCAAGGAGGTGGGATGGCCATGTTGGGAACAGAAAGGTGGGAGGCAGGGCCCCAAGCAGGGCCAGTGGAGTGCTTATGTGCTGAGCCCCTCCCACCGTACACAGCGTGACCGTTCTCTTATTCAACTCTTCTCGGAGGAGCCTGGTGTTGGTGAAGCAGTTCCGGCCAGGTGAGGCCAGCTGGGGTGGGAAGGGGATCTGCAGGGTCACCTTCAGGTCCCTGTGGTCCTGAGGGTCTGAATATAGATGTGGGAGGGGGCTCCAGGGGAAGCTGAGGCCCTGTGAGGGGGCCTGGCTGCACGGGTGACTTGGAGGTGGCCACCACGTGGCTGTGAGCATAGTCTGGCTTCCTCCCACGCAGCTGTGTATGCGGGCGAGGTGGAGCGCCACTTCCCAGGGTCCCTAGCAGCTGTAGACCAGGACAGGCCCCGGGAGCTGCAGCCAGCCCTGCCCGGCTCAGCGGGGGTGACAGTTGAGCTGTGTGCCGGCCTTGTGGACCAGCCTGGGCTCTCGCTGGAGGAAGTGGCTTGCAAGGAGGCTTGGGAGGAGTGTGGCTACCACTTGGCCCCGTCTGATCTGCGCCGGGTCGCCACATACTGGTGAGTGGGACCAGGCCCTCAGGTCTGTGGTGTGGCTCAGGAGACGGGAGAGGCTTTCTGGGAGAGGGTGAGGGCCCCGTCCCTGGGAGTGTGCAAGCAGGATGGATTTCTCCTTGTTTTTCAACATGGGATTAGGGGAGGGTTGGACAGAGCGCGCCTTAGATCCTAAGCCAGGCCGGAACCTGGGCTCTTGGGGCTCTCTGGAGCGTCTCAGCCCCATGCCTCCAGCCCGCGGCCCCCAGCCGTGTGGGGCAGGCCGGGTGGCAGCTGCTGCTGACAGGTGTCTCTACTTCCTGTAGGATTAAGACCGGGTGCTGGGGGTGGGGGTGAGTCACAGCTCTGTTCTCAGAGGGTGGCTCAGGAATGAGGGAGAAGCTGTGTCCTGGGCTGGAGAAGGGGTGGCTCCAGCTCTCCTGGGGAAGAGGCACGGCCTGGAGCCTGTGCTTTGGGACATGACCCCACCAAAGTCGAGGCGCCAACTCCTGCCCCATAAGGCCTGCCAGCTGGGGTTGCCTTCCCAGGACAAGATGTTGGGATGAAGCCCATCCACTTCCCCAGGGACACTACGATGGGCTCCTGACTCCAGCTGAGGTCTTGGGGAAGGAGGAGGGTGTCACAGAGTCCCCCCAGCCCCACCAGCTGAGCACCAGCCTCCACAACCTCCTCCAGAGGCTAGGGCCCACTCCACTGGGAGAAGCACCAGAAGTCTCTGAGCCTGTCAGCCCGGCACATGGGCCACTCAGGGTTGAACCTGCGGCCCTCCCGCCTCAGCAGCCTCAAGGACTTCACCTGGGTGCGTTCCTGCCTGGGTAGGTGGACTCCAAGTTAAAGGCAGCATTTCCACGCTGGGCCAGGCACGGTGGCTCACTCCGGTAATCCCAGCACTTTCGGAGGCCAAGGCAGGCGGATCACCTGAGGTCAGGAGTTCGAGACCAGCCTGACCAACATGGAGAAACCCTGTCTCTGCTAAAAATACAAAATTAGCCAGGTGTGCTGGCAGGAGCCTATAATTCCAGCTACTTAGGAGGCTGAGGCAGGAGAATCGCTTGAACCCAGAGGCGGAGGTTGCGGTGAGCCGAGATTGGGCCATCGCACCCTAGCCTGGGCAACGAGAGTGAAACTCCGTCTCAGCAAAACAGAATTTCCATGCCGAAGGGTGGACTTGGGTGTGAAGGATGGGCCTTCGTTTTCTGCAGGTGCACACCCCGCGGCCGGCCACGCCCACTGCGCCCCCACCTCCCTGGCCCGTGGTACTGAGCACAGCTGGGAGGCATGGGAGGGGTTGGAGTCCCCTTGGTCCCCCTGGAGGAGGTGGGCCTGGGCAGAATCCGGGCAGAGGGGCTGCACGGCATAGGCTCTCAGGGCAAGTGGTCAAGCAGCCCTGGCCGCGGTGGTTCTACTGGCACAAGCTCTGGGCCACAGCCTGATTGTGAGGGTGCTGGGGAGCCAAGGAGGGTCACGGCCTGATTGCGAGGGTGCTGGGGAGCCAAGGAGGGTCACGGCCTGATTGTGAGGGTGCTGGGGAGCCAAGGAGGGTCACGGCCTGATTGCGAGGGTGCTGGGGAGCCAAGGAGGGCTCTGGGAAGTGGGCATCCTGCTTAGACTTGCATTGTGAAGAGCAGGCCGTGGCTTCAGGGACGCAGGACTGGAGATGCGGCCGACTAGGGGTCAGGGCGTCTGTCTTTGAGGGCCTGATGGGGGGCTGGACTGACAGCAAAGTTTGCCCACCCTGTGGCAGGGCCCGTGGCTCCTGTGTCTGATTCTGGAGGTGAGCCAGGCCTCTTACCTGCCGCTGCAAAGGACAAGGCCCGGGGAGGCAGTCGGCTTGGGGCGTGATGGAGTGAAGTTGGAACGTGCCCTGGGGTGGGGGAGGCATTGCCCAGCCTGGCTGGTAGGTTCCTCTCAGCCCGGGCCAAGGGCCGGGCCTGTCTCCTTCACAAGCCAGCGGAAACCGGGGCTGGAAACCCCAGACCCGCCACTTCCCCCAGAGGTGCAGCTGTGGCCGCCACCGGAAATGGGCCATCAGGAAGGGGTCTGCGGGAGGTGAGGGGCTAGAGGGCAAGGAAGCAGCTGGGTAAGGTCAGTCTGGGATGGGGAGGCCTTGGGGGTGGGGCATGGAAGCCCCCAGTTCTGTTCCCTGCCCATGCATGTTGGGCCCATCTCAGAGGGCAGCCTCCACCCTGCAGGCCTCCGGCTGGCCTCGGTTCATGGTACCCGACAGCCCCTCCTGGGGCGAGCCAGGGCTCCCCCACCCCCTGGTCATCTTCCCAGATGCCCCTCAGTCCCGTTTCTCCCCAGATCCACACCTTGCTTTCCCCGTCCTGTTCCAGAATGCAGCCTGGTCCCTCTGCCATCCTGTCCTCCCAGCCTGTGGTCTCCCTCCACACATGCCAGTCCAGGCACCTTTCCTTGGTGCCTGACCCCTCCTGGCTGCCAGCAGCCCCCTTCTGGCCACTGCCCACTGAGGGAGGGGGCTCCGTCTCACCCCTCCCCAGCCTGGGCCACTGGGCCTGATCCTGGGGACCTCGCTGCCACCCCACCCCACTCTGCCATGCTGCGGGGGGGTCAGTGCATGCTGTCCCTAGTTTGAAACTTGTGTCCTGTGGGTTCCTGGTGGGGAACCCTTGTGGGAAGGCCATTCCCAGCTTGCTGGGTTTGTCCCTGCTTCCCAGCCAGCCTCTGTCCCCAGGTATGGGCTGGGGTCTGGCATGGGCCTCTGCAGCCGGCCACAGACTGAGGGGCTCCAGACAACACCGGGAACAGCCTCAGGGTGTCTGTGGTTGGGGGCTGCATACAGGGCTGGGGTCCTCTGCTCAGCCTTGACAGGTGGCAGGCAGGTTGTCAGCCGGATCTGCAATCTCATGGGGGCATGAGGTATCCTTGGCCCACATGGATATGGCAGAATTCATGTCCTGGTGGCTGGCAACTGGGTCCCACCTCTCTGCTGGCTGTTGGCCCCTCCCAGCATGGCGGTTGCTTCCTCTTCAGGGCCAGTAGGACAGGTCCGAATTTCTCCCTCTCTGGCATTGAAACACTCTCTGGAGGGCTTCCTGATTGGGCCATGCCTGCCTAGGATGCTCTCCCTTTTGATGAGCTCAAGTCACTGCTTAGGGTCCTTAATCACATCTACAACACCCTCCCCACCTGGCGAGTACAACCTGATCAGGGAAGGGATGCCCTGCTGGTGGAGGGGCCACAGGCGTGCACACCAGGTGGGCATCCGGTGGGAGAGGGCATCCCACAGTCCTGCCTACTGGAGGGCTGGAGGGAGCAGAGTAGAGAGGGTGAGTCGGAGGGTGGTAGAAGGGCCAGGGGGCCAGCAGGGCGACTCAGCAGACCCTGTCTCAACCCGTAGGTCTGGAGTGGGACTGACTGGCTCCAGACAGACCATGTTCTACACAGAGGTGACAGACGCCCAGCGTAGTGGTCCAGGTGGGGGCCTGGCAGAGGAAGGTGAGCTCATTGAGGTGGTGCACCTGCCGCTGGAAGGCGCCCAGGCCTTTGCAGACGACCCGGACATCCCGAAGACCCTCGGCGTCATCTTTGGTGTCTCGTGGTTCCTCAGCCAGGTGGCCCCCAACCTGGATCTCCAGTGAGATCCAGGGTTCTAGACAGAGGCCAGTCTTGGCCACTTACCCTACATTCTGCAGACCCAATAAAGGCTTACATAGCTCCAGCCTCTGCCTGCTGGTTCTGAGCTGTGACCAGGGCCTTGGAGAGGACTGGGGAAGGGGCGGGGAGCAGTGACCCTGACCTGAGATGGCCCTCAGGACATGGCGAGCTCTCCTGTAGCAGGAGCAACTGGTGGCAGGCCATGCAAGTGGCTGCTGTGGGCTGAGGACAGGCCTGGGGATACCATGGGCAGGGCCAGGCTGTGCCTTCTCTTGGAACTAGGAGGGGTGGGGTCTGGGACTCATGGAGGGTGGCATGGCAGGCCTGGAGGTGGGCCTGCTGGTCACGGGGCTGCAGCGTGAGCTGTACTCACAGGAGTGGTGGCTGAGCCAGTCCTCGGGTGTCAGGATGGGGCAGGCAGCACTGCAGGCTGCTCACTGCAGGGAAAGTGCGCTGCCTGCTCCTGGGGCAAGTAAGCGGTCCCCACCCTGACGAGCTGGGCTAGAGCCACTCCACGGGAGCCTGGAGCCAAAGCTGCCCCGTGTCGGGGGCCCCAGTAGCTGTCCATGCACCCCCGACCTTGGAAGTTTTCCAGGGGACCTTCCTCGGCCTGTGGGGTATGCAGAAATGTCTGCAGGCCCCCAGAGGAGGGGGTGGCACACAGGGTGGGGACACAGGGCCAGTGTTCTGCTTGACATGGGCCAGGTTCCTGGTGCTAACCCGATCCTGGTCCCGGAGCACGGCCTCAGCCTGGGCCGCCCAGCACCAGGCTCTACTGGCCCCTGAGCATCTCTGGCCTGTATGCCCTGGCCTTGCCTTCTGACATGTCCTGAGGGTGGGGCTGTGGGAGGTGCGTGCGGCTCAGAGCTGCTTCCCAGGTGCCCACAATGCTTGTAGGGCAGGAACCCCACTGGCCTGGTCTGCTTCCTGGGCCACAGGTGCACAGGAAGGGCTCCACAGCTAAATGGCTGTGTTGGCACTGGTTGTGGGCATTTGAGGGCACTGCTGGGCCATCAGTCTTGGGCAGGATCCTCTCCTGCACATCATTAGGTCCAGGCTCTGGCTCCCAGGAAGGTGGAGAAGGGGACTGTGAGGTGAAGGGAGCCTCAGTACCCTGCAGGGGGGCACCCTGGGTGGGGAGGTGGGGACTGACCCCCTGTTGTCATCCAGCATAGTGCCAGGCAGCCTGGCATTGGAGGCTGTCCTGAGGAGGCTGTGCCTCAGGGGCCCACAAAAGCAGTGCCACCTGTATGCAAATGCTGACTGTGGCACAGGTGGAACCCTGTGGGCATCAGGAAGGCCAGCGACAGGGCTGCCGCAGAGGGGCTGTCTGGTATGAGGTGTGTGCCTGGGAGAGGCTGTCACGTATGGGTGCGTGGGTCTTGGCCAGCCTCAGCTTCCCTCTACCCAGATGAGGCCGCAGCAGGATGTTCACAGGACAGGAGCTCTGCCTGACCCACAGCAGCCCTGCTGTGCTGCCCTTACCAGCAGCCTGCCTGGTGACCCCATGAGAGTGCAGCGGGCCCTCCGGGCTGACCGGCAGAGGCTGCCCACTGCCTCAGAGGGACCTCTCGCAGGCACCAGGCGGGTCTGGCCCCCAAAGCACCGAGGGGACAGGTGACAGGGCACCCGGACCTGGGTGCAGTCCAGCCCCTCACTCTGCTCCGCAGCCTGATGGGGTGGGTCAGCAGGCAGCGCTGCCGGGCCTAATGGAGCTGGCATTGATTTCCCAGCACTGGAGAGGGGGTTGTAACCGGAAACTCCCCTCCCTGTCTGCTATATTTAGCACTGCAGGACCCGGCGGAAGCACAGCTTACTCCAGAACCTCACCGGCTCTGTCCAAACCCCTGGCAGCCTGTCCCCAGCCTGGTCCCCAGGAGTGCCCTATGGGCCCAGAGCCCCTGGCCAGGCTGAGGGGCTGCACCCTTGCCCTCTGCACACAAACTGGGCACTGCCCGCTTCAGAGCACACCCCAGCCCCTCAGAGCACAGCCAAGCCCCTCAGAGTGGGAGCCCTCCAGGCTGGGGGATGGGTGGCTCTGGGAGGCTGGAGGGTGCTGTGGTCCAGCGGGCCGCAGGACAATGACAAGGTCCCTTTCTAGAAGAGACTGGAGAGCTTGGTCTGGTGAGGGTTGGGGCTGGAGCCCTGGTCCCCGCTGGAGCCTCAGCCCCTCACCCAGCAAGGTGCAGCGCCAGGGAGCAAATGCTTTTTGTCAAATCTGTATAAGGGGCAAGAGTTCCCACTGCTGCCTTCTGGGAACTCAAACCAGGATCCAGCTGCCTGGCATTTGTGGCTCAAGGGCTGCAGAAATTCCTGCAGGAAAGGGACCCCCTCTCCGATGCCTCCTATGTCCCCCTCCTCCCCAAGGGCGGGTGCGGCCACCTTCCTGACCTGGGTCCTCTCGTGGACATCATGAGGTTCAGGTAGTGGCTACCAGAAGGAGACAATGAGAGGGAGCCACCCTGGGCAGGAGGGCAGGGACTGACCCCTTGGTACTGCCCTGATGCTCACCCACCCGCCCTGGGCCACGGATACCCAGGCAGGTCTCACTCCAAAGGACCTGGAGGGAGGCAGTGGGGTTGCCATCCCCCTGCTTGGCAGGATGGGCTGGGCTGTCTACCCTGAGGCTGGGCAGGCCAGTGGGCAGCGCTCCAGGCAGGTTGCGGCCCCTGCCGGGTTGAGCTTGAATCTTGAGATGAGTGCGCATCCCTCACTGGGGCCTCCGCGCTGAGACAGCTCTGAGCTGGGGGCGCCTTGGCTGAAATGCAGATGCTGCGGGAATAGGCCCCACACAAGCCCTCAAAGTTCAGCCGCAGGGCCACTAGCCACTGCGTGGCCAGCCTCTTCAATCCTTTCCTCCCACAGCTGGCCAAAAGCAGGAAGCTGGGAGCTGGACCAGGGAGGGGAACCTGGAGGGGCTGTTCCCTGGGTTCCCTCCTACGCTGGAATTCCCCCACCTCAGCCCGGCACCATCCCCTCCCCTCACCTGCACCATGGCAGTCCTTGACCTCACCCCTGTGCTTGTCCCCTCCCCACAACCAGGGGTCTTTGTGAAAATCTTTGTGAAAATGTAGGTCACTGCAGCCCACTCAGCTCAGTTGCTTTGGTGACCCCTGTTGGGTCTTAGCGGGAGGACTCTCACGTCACCACTGGCCTTGGGTTGTAGTCAGGACCCTTACCAGGGTCCCGCTCCTGTGGCTCCAGGGCCTTGACACATGCTGTTCTCAGCTCCTGACCTGGCTGACCTGTGCCCGTCCACCCTCTGGCGGTCCCCTATGCCAGATTCTGCATTACTTGTTTAAGTCCTCTGTCCACTCCTGGGCCGGGAGCTCCTGAGGGTGTGCAGGGATGGAGTCTCCCTTGTTCACCACTTAGCCGAGTGCCCAGCAGAGGCACCCAGCACCCCCTCCCCCACCATAGTGGGGCAGTGGGCATAGGTGGGGATGGAGCCCTGGGCCTCTGGAGCCGGGCAGGGGGCTCCTCTGTCCTGGGGTTTCCTTCTCTCGAGGACCTGAGTACCTGCCCCCAGGCCAAAGCACAGGAGGGGTGGCATCTCCACAGGGAGCCCCTCCCCCCGTAGGCGGTAATCACTGCCCACATACCGGAAGGCGGCAACTGGAAGGCTCTGAACACAGCTTGGATTCTCTTATTTGGTGGGGGTCTCTGTGCAGGCCTCATCCTGGCTTGTGTCTTAATCCCCACGAAGCCTACCCGCTACTAGGTTTGGGGTGGGCATTCTGAGTAAGCAGAGCCAGCTGAGGCGGGCATGGGGGCGCTCTGACCCACCCCTTTAGGGACCTTCAGCTGAGCCTGCGGCCTGGATCCTGGAGGGGCTGCTAAATAGGGATGAGACAGGCAGACCCTGCGTATGGGGTGTTCACAGGCCCTGTGCCTCCAAAGCTCTCTTCTTTCAGCCCTCAGCCCCAGCCCCATGGTGGCAGTGACTTGCTCCAGGCTGGGGGGCTACACTGTCACCCAGCTCCGGGCACAGGACAGATTTGCCAGAGGAGCTAGGGGGAGAGAAGGCAGCTCGGTTATCACCGGGATGGGTTGAGGACCCCTCTGGTCCATGTGGGGATCTTTAACCACCAAGGTGACCCCTAGCCTTGGAAAGGACCGCGCTCAGTGGAGGAGAGGCAAGGTGCCCTTGGTATTGACCCTGTGGCGGAGCCTCGAGGTCACCCAGGGAGAGGGCAAGGAAGTGACTGCAGAGGATAGGATGTGGAAGCCTGGTGACTAGGGCAGCAGGGGGAGGCCTCTCTTGGGGTAGCCTTCAGGCTGAGCTTGGGGGGCGAGAGGCGGGAAACGGGGAATGTGGCCTGAGCACTTCCTGAGGGCATGGCTTGGCGACCCGAAGCCAGCGCCGAGCTGAGCAGTCTGCACCCTGGAGCATTTGTTGACTGGCTGCATGACCGGCGCGCCTCGCAGAGGGGAAGGCAGGGGTGTCGGAGGGGCGCAGCGCCCCCTGCAGCCGGCGTGGAGGCGGCAGGAGCGGAGCGGAGCCGGGGAGATTCCCGGAGGAGGTGGGGGGCGCGCAGTAGGGGCTGGGCACGGCTCTGGCCCCAGGGCCGCGCCACCCCGCGTGGGGGCCGAGCCCTGATCACAGCAGGAGGCGGCATCTCCTCTGGGACTGCGAGGAGCGCGGCGGTGGCGCACTGATGGGAGGGGACCACACGGCAACCTCGGGGCGCCCGACCCCCGGTTTCTGACACCTGGCGGGAGCCCAGGCGGAGGAAGGGGGGCCGCTTTGCGGCGCCGGCGCCCGCCTCGCCGACTCACGCGGAGGCGTGAGCGAGGCCCCAGCGGCCCGCACTGACCCCAAGGCCCCGTGCCCCCGCCGCCCGGGCGCCCTGGGAGGCGCGCGGCAGGCCGGGGCGCTGGCAGGCGACGCCCTCCGCCGCCTTTAAAGCCTGGGGCGCCCCCGGACCCCCCCGGCCCCACCCCGCGGCGCGGCCCCGCCCCCTCATGCATATGCAGGTGCGCGGGTGACGAATGGGCGAGCGAGCTGTCAGTCTCGTTCCGAACTTGTTGGCTGCGGTGCCGGGAGCGCGGGCGCGCAGAGCC